CTTAGAATTTGACAAGGAATTGTGTAAGCAGGCCTTGTGGGCTGACTCGCGACGTCATCTACGCTCCGTTTAAACGCGTTCTGATTGGTCGCATTACTGCAACTTCAACCTTGATTATCTCGAAATTTTGATACATGAAATAAAAAATGAAAATACACGTATTCCTTAGAATTTGACAAGGAATGCAACGGTGTTACTACAGTGCGTTTCATAACGAACACGCTGTATATAAATTGTGATGGATTTACGAAGGTGTGTGCAAATAGTTTAACTGTAGCAAATCATATATTTATTCTTTGAGCTGTCTTTAAGTCGTACAAAAATATGTTCAGTAACTCGAGTATTTAGTACCATAGTTTCTTATTAGTGTAACTAATAACACTATTTGCATATTTTAATCTCAGATATAGTGTCTGTCAGGAAATAAATAACTATATACTTTAAAAGGGATTAGTAATATAATACAGTCAAAATTTTTGTTATAATCCAATGGCGTTACGTGTCTATTATATTATTTATAGTAGGCACTGATAACAGATATTAAACGTAATGATAGATACAATTCGTTTATTTCGACTTGTTTGGTCTTGAAGTAGGACTTTGGTACTTAATATAGTAAGTATAATACTTCTTAAAGTATTTCCTTCTATCTCCTTGCTGTTCCCTTTATCCAACCCATCGCTTCAACCTTATCTTCTAGTGCCCGCATGATGCCTTTATCTTAAATCCTGTCCTATCACATTCTCTTATCTTCAGTTTCCCAGTATCTATTTTCATTCCAACATTTTCATCTCGCAATCTATTTGGTTTCCTCTATTTTTTTATTTCTTTAGGTATCTCGGTATGTTCATGTTTTTTGATTGTTTTGTATTCATGACTATATCGGGATTCTCTGATTTTGTTTATTTGTGCTTTCTTTTATATGACCGAGTCTGTCCTCTGCAATCTGTTGGTCATGGATATTCTTTCACTTACAAGGAAAATATTTGAGGTGCTCCCCCCCCCCC